AGGCCCTATCCTTCCAGTCTAGGGAATATTTTTGAGAAATTTTCTTCTTTGCAGGATTTTTTAAACAGATCATAAGAGAAATGAAAACAGAGTATAGATCTCTAGGCCTTCAGTTTACATACCGATCAGCTTATCCAGCTGAATGTGCCATGTCATTCTATATCTTAATTTTTTATTTAAATGTAACCTTCTATTTAAATTCTATGTGAATACAAATTATTTGAAAAAATTCTGAAAATGCAATATCATTTTACATATTTATTTAAGTCGGTGAAATTTTCCTATTTTTTTAAAAATTTCAATTCGATTTAAAAAATAAATGTTGAATTTGTTTTTAGAACCTAATCAAAACTATAAGCAGTTTTTATTGAAGGATTCGCTGCTGACTAGAACACTATCTATTTAACGAAAAAAAAATTTATGATGACTAAATTCAAATTAGCATCCCTAATTTAATGATATAAGAGACTAATTGTAATTAGCAATTAACACCTCTATTATTTAATTATTTTTTGAAAACAGAGGAAACGATCTCACTCAACCTGAAAAACTTCAATTCTTTGTAAAACCTACAGGACTTCAGATATTTTGAAATATTGAAGATTCTATTAATAATTTTTCCATTTAAAAAGTATAGCAGCGTCTAGAAAACAGTTCAAATAATTGTTCTACATACTGTAGGAATTTGGGAGAACAGCTGGAATACCTAGTATTAACAACACAAAATTCTACGTCAACGTAGATGGTAACAAACTCGAACAATATTTCATTGGACGCAAGAGTTGATAGTGGATTAAATGCGGATTGAACTTTGTATTAACACATCATCTATCAAAAGAAAATAAGAATTAACCAATAATAGAAAATTTTTACATTAAATCAAGTCTTTTGAAGTCTATAACAGTTGAATCTAGGATAGGATCGATCCTGCTCAGGCCTAGTGGCTTCCCTGTCTATCGATGCACCAAATGTCAAATTCTTTTATTAACAAAGTATAAAAAGTTTATAAACTATTTCTTTCTTCAAATGTCTTTTTTATAATTTCTTGTTGACTCTTAATGATATTCCGACATAAATCGAATTTTTCTTGTAATTCTGTAATTGTATAATAAATGAAAAATATTCTTTTATTCTGAAGTTTTTTTATAAAAATGTCTTGATTCGTGTCTTTCTAACATATGTTCTTATCTGATTATGATGAACAAAATGTGTTTACAGATAAGCATATATGTAAGAGATATATATTACAAATGAATTGTTTTTGTTATCTCGATATTTATCTTTATGAAGTGTCACATGTTTCTTTTATTTCTTATCATATTTAGTGAAAATAACTAAACCTTGTTTTTTTCTAAAGTCTTGTAGAATAAACTATAATGTGTCTAATTATTGGTTTAATAATCATCTTCTATGTGACTTATCGTTTGTATGAACATTTTTTTCCAGCACCGGATATCAATTCAAAGGGTAAATATGTTCTTATAAGTGGTTGTGATACAGGATTTGGTCATGGATTAGCTTTGGAACTTGATAAACAAGGTTTTAATGTTCTTGCTGGTGTGTATCTTCCTGAGAATGTAGATTCATTGAAAACTAAACTTTCATCTAAAGCTACTGTCTTTCGTCTTGATATAACTAAACAACAAGATATAAATGATGCATTTGAATTAGTCAAAGAAAAAACAAATGTACTTCATGCACTTGTTAATAATGCTGGAATTGGTGCAGGTGGATTCATCGATTGGATAACATTAGAATCCATGCATAAAATAATGAATGTGAATTTTTTTGGACATGTAGCGATGACAAAAAAGTTTTTACCATTATTAATAGCTAAACGTGACTGTCGAGTAATTAACATTTGTTCAGTTATGGGATTTATAACTCCACCATGTATGTCAGCATATTGTGCTTCAAAATATGCATTTGAATCATTTTCTGATTGTCTTCGTCGTGAAATGACTCCATGGGGTTTACGAGTATGTATTATCGAACCTGGTTGTTTACGAACACCGATTATTGAAGGGCACGATCGGCTAATGCAAGAATTATGGAATGGATTATCATCGGATGTACAAAAAAGATGGGGAGAAGATTTTTTCAATGATTTACTTAAGAGAGCAGTAATAAATAATCTTCTTTTTAATTATGCTGACGATCCAATGAAGGTGGTACGAGCACTCCGACATGCCGTTATGAATAGTAAACCTCGTATTCGATATCATCCAGATTGGTACGCAAAAATTTTCTTTTATCCAATTTCTATGCTTCCTGCTTGGTTGGTTGATTTCTTTACGTCTCAATTCATGAGCTTGTCTTTTCTTCCTGCTGATGTTAAAAATCAGATTAAAGATTAGCTGAATAATAGAATAACAATGAATTTAAATAATCCATTTTCTTGCTTTTTTTCTAGACTTCATTTATTTTTTATTATGATTATTCTTGATATTGATTTCTAAAAATACGTCTACTTTCTGGTGAAATAAAAACAAAAATCTATTTGAATTCATCTCAAAATTCTCTTGCACAACTCGATTCCATTTACTTTTATTCAGAACAAACATTCAACTGTCTTTGTTCACGGTATTTCATTGAATAAAACATTAAAAAAACCTAAATAAAATTTGAAAGGACAATTATTAAATAATAGGGTGCGGGGTATGAGTGTGGGTGTGTGTCTTCCTGTCACCCATACCCATACCCTCCAACGTGGGATTTTTGACCTGGACGGCAACTTTTCTCTTGAATCTATCGTTTTTCTCTACCGATCAGATCGTTGTCCACTACTGCTTTTCAAGATACCAAGCGTCACTAGTTTATGTCAATTTTATGTATTTAATATTAAATTAAATAAAAGAAGAGAATTAATCATGTTAAATCGAAATAAACCTCTCACTGAAACAAACTTGAAAAAATCTAACAGAATCGAACGTCCAGACGAAGTGGCTCTCTCATTTGGCCTGCCTTCTCTAATTGTCGTTGATTATCTTCTGATATTTGATTATTAGTAAGAATTAAAAGCGTCAATGTTCGATTTACATTGATCATTTTCAGGATACTCATGACGCTTTTGTCTGTAATTTGATTGAGGTCGAGATGAAGGCGTTCGAGAGTTCTATTTCCATCTTTCAAAACATCGAACAGACTTTTTACACCGTCATCATCAATTTGATTCCAACGAAGATTGAGGATGGGTGTGAGTGTGGGTGTGTGGATGTGGGTGTGGGTGTGGGGTGCGGATGTGGGTGCGGGTGTGGATGTGGATGTGGATATTGGTAAGAGTTTCCTTCGTTTATGCTTGTTAACACCCACACCCACACCCACACTCTCTCACCCTAGCCACACCCACGCGTCGGCGTTAAATAAAATCTGCATTATATTGTTATTAAATTTAATTCAAGCACAATATCAAATATATTTTAAACTTATATTTTGACTTAATCGATTGCTGAAAAGCAAAAGCTGAGAGTAGCAGGGTGTGGGTGTGGGTATTCACCTCCGCCACATCAACACCCACACCCACACCCACACCCACACCCACACCCACACCCACCCACACCCACCCACACCCACACCCCCACCCCCACCCCCACACCCACACCCACACCCACACCCCCACCCCCACACCCACACACCCACACCCACACCCACACCCACACACCCACACCCACACCCACACCCACACCCAAAATAATAGCATGCTACATATTTGGGTGTGGGGTGTGGATTGTATGCGAGTATGGGTGTGGGGTGTGGATTGTATGTGAGTATGGGTGTGGGGCGTGGATTTATGCGAGTATGGGTGTGGGTGAGTGCGATCTCTCTGTGCATGTGAGTGAGGGTGTGACCCCTCTATGGATGTGGGTGAGGGCATGACCCTTTTGTGGATATAGATGAGGGTATGGCGATGCAGTGAATCCTTGCACCAGAGGTGCAGAATCTGCCGGTAAAATTAAAAATTTTCCCCGACGGCAAAATTTTTTTCGGCAAATTTTCCGAGCTATAGAAGCCAATTAAATACTGACATTTTTAGATTAAAATATTTATTCAGAAAAGCTACTATTATTTAATAAATTACAAATTCACATTAAGAAAACAATACTATTATTCAATACGGCTTGATTCAAGTAATCTTTCTAACTTTACTTTCTGTAAATGATTTAAAACAACTGAGACAGGAGAAACGAGTTTTCAAACTTGATATTGTTCATGTTTTGTAAAATAACCATTGTTTATCTTACGTATGACTAAAATAATCTTTGAGGAAACTTCTATACATGTAATTTGTTGAAAGAGTGTAATGGTATACTTGTTTTGGGTGTGGGGTGTGGGTGTGGGTGTGGGTGTAGTAACAAATAGTTAAACACACACCCACACCCACATCCCATGCAAGCCAACACCCACACCCGCACCTCCACCCACACCCACACACCCACACCCACACCCCACACACACCCATACCCGCACCTACACTCACACCCACACCCACACACCCACACCCACCCCCACCCACACCCACACCCACACCCTCTATGTTTTGATTGTATTAGCCTTAGCTGTTCATGATTAATGTTTTGAAATATGTCTACCGATTTTTGTTGACTCCAGTATGTAAATATTGGTTATCGTAAACGGTATACATTTCCATATAACAAAAAGTGCCAAGCATCGTGCAATTTTCAGTGATAGTGTGTGAGTTTGGGCAGCTGTTGGTGTGGATGTGCAGCTTGTTTTGTCCTATCTTTTACATCTACCGCAACAGACCCATATCCATATGCATCCCTAAAATCGCGCCCATCTCCACACACATATTCCACACATCCTCACTTATTCAAATTATCTCTCAGAATAACTTTATGCTACGAATGGCAGAAGTCTTTATTTTTCTACAAATTCGGCGGTTAACTTTCTCAGTAAGCTTTGAATGCAATTCAGAACTCTCTAGAATATTGATAAATAAAACCTCGGGAATAAGTAATTTTTCTTACAAATAAATGTGTCTAATATAAACTAGCAGCTGTTGTCTTTGCGCACCATCGTGACATTTCAAGATAATGCAAAACAATTTTTAACGCTTCATCTGTTCCGATTCTTTTCAAAGCTAATAATGCGTTTGCATTCACATATCGATTTTTATCCAGATAGAGTGCTTCTTTTAGACTAGGTATTGCTTGTATTGCTTTGACGCCAAGTTTAGCCAAGGATAATGCAGCCGTAAATCTCATATGGGATGCTTCTTTAGGATCTTCCAGTTGATCTCGATCCGCAAGAACATTTGTCAAACATGATACGACCGTGTCAAAATAATGTTGCTCATTTACTTGGATAGTTCCCAGGGCTTCACAACAGTATTGTTTCACTAAATATGAATGGCTTTTTTCAATGATTTGTATCAATAATGGTAAAGTATCCAGTGCTGCTGAACCCATTTCGGAAAAGATGAATGCTATACAATATGCTATGGGTTCATTGTTTTCTTCTCTTGTTAGCACTGCTTGTAATTCATCGATTGCCTCTTTATTATATCGACAAGCCGTTAATGCATATGCTGCTTCGAAACGAGGAATTTCTTTGTTCTTATATAATTGTTGGATTAAAATATTGTATTCGTTATTCAAAGCTAAATTATAAGCTGCATTAAGACGGATTTTCCCACA